TAAAGCCACATAGCCCAATATGCCTGACGAGCCATTTACTGCTTCTGTAAAAGATATCTACCAATATTAACTGTATATTATTAAAACTTGGCTTATAGTGTTTTTACACGATATGTATTTTACATATGTCCTGTCACTTTATTTACATATGGAAATCGAACTCGTCATGTGAAACATACGGAAATTTCAATGTGTCAAAACGATATGCAATTACATATGTATTTTTTCCGAATAGTACGCGCTCTATTTTCGTATGTGAAACATAAGGAAATCAGCTGTTTGACTGAAATACATTGTTGGATTAAAATATTCCAATTGCAAATCAAAGTAAAGGATGAAAAGGCAACAATTACAAATTATTATTTCGTTTCTAGGTGTTTAATAAAAAAATTATGTTGATTTAAGAAAAAATAAAAGTGTGTGTTTTTTTTTTTGTTTATAGGTTATGTCATACGTAAAATACATATGCCGATTTGAACACAAAAAATAAAAGTTTTGTGTACGCTGCTAATTTTGACACACATTAGGAATTACATATGGTTGAAATAAGTGACAGCACATATGTAAAATACATATCGTATAAAAACACCATTAGATTACAAAGGCGAATGCTTTGAGCTAATCGGAATATATACGTCACAACGCCACTACATTATACATTAAAAGTACATTTACATATACGATTTTTAATCGACTCGATTAACGAAATCCAGAAATACACCCTAATTGGTTACACATACCTTTAATCATGATCTAAATACGGATCAGCTGATGTTTGTTAGTATACATACAAAATTATAAATTTGCTGCAAAAATATTTGTTTGCAATTTGAACATGAAACGAAGAATTACAACAATGGAAATGTTTTTGCAATGGTGCGATCGTTTGGAAATTTAAAAAAAACAACGAAAAACAAAAAAATTCTATAAATAATTGTTATTTAATTTTTGTATTTGGTAACCGTTAAATTTAAAAACAAACAACATGTGAAAACAGTTGCAAATTTTGGTACATTGTGAGAGAGTTGTATTTTTTAGCACAAAAACCGCGTTGCATCTCAGTAGTATCATGATTTCGATCATGATTTAAAATAAACCATGCCGCACGATGATTTAATTTTGTATTCTAAATCATGGTAAATTTAGCCTGATTAAGAAAATAAACCCTGATTCAGCCTTTAATCATGATTAAATGTTATATGTAAATTCGCTTTAATTAATATTATATTAAAAATGTTTTTGCTAAATATTTAATAAGGTAAACAAAATTAATGAAATATGTATATGACGAAGAGCTTAAGATATTCCCAGAATTTCCAATGATCCAAAAGATGTTTCTTTTAATGTAAAATGTTGTTTTTATTAATTAATCATTAAAATATTCCGCTCTCACTCTCTTTCGCCCAGCTTGTATTTCTCTTAGACTTTGGCTTACAATTTGTTGTAAAACTATTGTCTAGGCCGGTTAACTGCTTCTAACTGCATTGTGTCGGTTCAAGTCGATTGTTACATGAGCTTATATTTTCTGTTGTAATAAGTTTTGGTTTGACGCCAAATGAAATAAAAATATTTAAATGTATTGCGTATATTATATGGGTTTGAATAGTTAAATACAGGTAAGTTCCGCTGGATTAAATCTCAATATAATTCTGGAAAATTCTACAATATTAGTCAGGCGGATAATGCGCAGAAGGATTTATTATTTTGTAACGTATCTTATTGGAATGTTTGTAAATGTGTTTACAAAAATTTGTCATTCCTAGGTTTGGACTATATCTTCTTAATCAACTGAATTTTTTGCTAGCTGTGCGTAGCTGTTTAGACCAAAATTAAAACTATATATAAAGTTGTCACTCAGCTTATTGCTTCAAAATATTCTCGATGTCTCTGCACAACCTCATCTAACGGAATTGCGTGACCACCAATCAACTGACAACACAACTCATGTCTGTACATAATGTCATGTGGAACATGTTGATGACAATTTAGTTTATTATTTGTTGTTATCACAAATTTATAAACAAAAGATAAACATTTATTGTGATGTTATTAATTTAAAACAAAACAAAAACTACCCACTGCGTGTTATCCCCAGAAGCTGAGGCGCGTGTGATTTCATTCAAATAATTGTAATTAATAATAGTTGTAATAACAATCATTGTAAGCTTCAGTAGCAGCAGTATGAGTATCAGTAGCAGGCAGGGCAAAGACACATTTAGTCTAGCCCGGATCGTTTAGAAACTTTTACATATGACATTGTAGACGAATCCCCAGCACCTTTACCTTTTTTGTAATGTAATATACAATGGAAAGTTTTTTCTTTTTTGAATTTATTCATTTCCACATGAATGAACTTGTTTTTGCCACGTTGCAACGCTTTTGAGGCTTTTTACGTTTTAATTTGTAGTTCTTTGATTTATTTAGATTATTAAATATTATCAAATTACACTAGTCGGTAAATAATGTGACACCAAAAGAAAGCCCAATACAGCAAGTCTGACATAGTCATCATAACGTCATATTATGACATGTAAATTTTGTAATTATTTACAAATGTTATAACAACAAAAAATAAATAAAAGGTGGTAATAGTGCAGATGGAAATTTGTACAGTTAAAATGTATTTTCAATTGTTAATTAAATCCACATTTATATATAATATGCGATTTAGTTTTTTATACCGATTATTTCATATATTTTACATATAAAGTACGTCATATAAAACCAGATAGACCCGTTTGGTTCTTATAGGAGAAGTGTTGCATTTTTTGATGAGGGGGATATATTTTTTATGCTAAATCGAGGTAAATTATGCACATTATGAAGAGGGGTCAATTCCTTTGAATATATGCCAAATATATCCTCATAAAGTAGGTTAATCCGGTAAAAAGTTCTTATGTATATGCCATTTAAAACTAATAACAAAATGTGCCTTAAGTCTTATATAATTTTTATTCCGATAGTGCAATAGAATGTTGGTGCTATTGCACCAAAAAATTCATCACTTTTCCTAAGCGCATCAAAACGGCAAGGCTTTACGCTGCAAAATACATTTAAATTGAAAATATGCGCTATTGAAGGTAAATATAACCATGGCACAATGAATAGGTAGTCCATTTAGCGCAGCTGATGTCTTGATTATCTGTCAAAGTGGGTAATTTTCACTTGAATTCGATGTGAAGTATTGCCAACCATTTGAAATATTATATGGAAAAATTTGACAGATAATCGAGACAAAAACAAAGGTTTTTGTTTTGATACACCACCTTATTATTGCATCATGAATATAACCATAAAGCCGTAATAGTACGTTTACGTGGTAACCAATTTCGTTAACCCAGTGGGTTTAAATTTTCAATTCAATTGTATATATGTCAAATAAATACTAATGCTGTAGGTTAACCCTGTAAAAAGTTCTAATGTAAATGCCGTTTAAGAACTTATCAATCAGCTGATCGGACTAAATCTATGTCACTATTAATTGAATATATTGAATTCCTTTTTCTTCAGACATATGTTCCCGTATGTCAATTCCGCCACAATTGGGGAGGAATTTAATGCGACATGAGACACTTAAACTCCTTGTACATTAGAACTTCTTACCGGGTTAACCTACTTTATGAGGATTTATTTGACATATATGCAAAGGAAATGTCAATTGAAACACACTGGGTTAACGAAATCCGGTTAAATGTAAACGTACTATTAGCCTATGTTGCCTCTTTCACATGTTTTTTTTTTTTTTTTTTTTGAGAATATGCAGTCATATGTTTCCAATATTTTCATAAATTTGTCTTTGACAGCATTCAGCTCTCAGTGGCGAAAATTGCAAAATCATTTATACTTATAAATATTGTGAAGATCTCTGTCTCCAAAAACTTATACATATAAGCTGTAACAACCATGGTTAAATCTTGAGAATAATGTTCGGCTTTAGAGAATATATTTAGTTTAAAATATTGAAAATATGCCAATCGACATACATAAAATTTTATGGAATTTATTTTTCATTTTATTTGAAATTGATATATGAATTTCATACCTTGCATAATTATGCCATGATTTATCCATTGAATTCCATAGGTTAGTTCGACCAGCTGATTGATATAGATTTATGATTATGTCACAACTCATTTGTCATAACAAATTCTACCCTCATATGTCAATTCCATTATTTGTACTTTGAATTTTCTGATCCCAATACTACCTTAGAGCGCGTTTAGGCTACTAAAACGGCATTTGCATTAGAACATTTTGCCGGGTTAACCTCCTCTATAAGGATTTATTTAAAAAAATATATTCAATGGAATTGTCAATTTAGATATACTGGATTTAATAAATCCGGTACAATATAAACGTACTATAAATCCAGTAGATTTCAATTGTCTTTTCTATAGATTATACGTCACTTAATCGTAATCACTATTCCAGTACGTTATCTTTGAGATTTAAAATCGAGTGGATTTCGTAAATCTAAACATAATTTTATTCAAATAAAAATTATGAAGTCGACTTTTACTTCCCTAACAATATCAGCTGATTATCACATTTGCCCTTGTCTTGTTCTAAACAAATAATAGTTATACCAATTTTTCATTGTACCCATTCGTAAACAGAACGATAAATCATGCCTTGCCCTTTGTACACTTTTTTATCGGCTATTCTCTTATTTTCCTACAATTCTTATCATTTGGAAATAGTTCCGATCATTCCCAACATAGAATCATTAATTTGAACTAATTCCTTCCACTGTGACAAAAGTTCAGAAAACGTAGAGAAATAAACAATAAAATCGTTTTCTGAGGTATTAAACTTATAAAAACAATAAATTTGTTGTGGATAGAAGAAAAAACAAATCACAAGCACAATGAATAATCCAACTGTACCACTGGGCATCCAAAGTACGGCAGGTGCTGTAGCCGTACGCAATGAAAAAGGTAAGTCAGACAATTTGGTGTGGTCGTCTATTTTTTTGTTAACTCTGTTTTACTTCCAGGTGAAATATCTATGCAAAAGGTAAAGGTCCAACGTTATATATCCGGAAAACGTCCCGACTATGCCAAATACAATTCCAGTTCTGAGGAAAGTGATACCGACGATTTCCTGGAACATCGTCGAAGGCAGCAATATGAAAAGAGGCACCACAGGGGAGATGCTAAGGATGAGGAACATGATAGGGAGGGCAGAAGTAGACGCCATGAAGACAAACACGAAAACAATGACGACGACGATGATGAGGATGTCGATGATCCACGTCTGAGACGTTTACGTGCCCGCCCCGTTGAACAAGATGAACTGGAAAGAGAACGTATGGAACGACATCGTCACATCCATGAACCTGAACTTCTGGAAGAAAGTGATTCGGAAGAAGAAGAAAATGAAGATGAGAAGGCTATGCAAAAAGCCACCAATAAAATTACATTGGCTTCCGAATCGGATTCCGATTCAGATGTAAGTGAAACGGAATTGGAACAAAGACGTCTCAAGTTACGTCAACGTATGTTACAACAACAAAAAGAAGAGGAAATTCTCCAAAAGGAAGAAGAGAAACAATCTGAATCATCTGATTCCGAGAGTTCCGAATATGAGGAAGAAACCGAAAGTGAGGAAGATAATGAGCCACGTCTGAAGCCGTTGTTTGTGCGTAAAAAAGATCGTGCCACAATACAGGAAAAGGAACGTGAGGCACAGAAACAAAAACAATTAGAACTCGAAGCAAAACGTTTGGCCAAGGAGAGGAGACGTAACACTTTGCGTCTGGTCGAGGAGAGTGTCAAAAAAGATTTGGAAAAGACAAAGGTAAGGTCATCACATTGCCGTGATTTGTAAAGGGATACTTAGTTAAAATGTATTTATTTCAGAACGATACTGCTGAACCACAAATTGAAGATGTTTGCACAGATGATGAGAACGACGAAGTGGAATATGAAGCATGGAAACTACGTGAACTCAAACGCATGAAACGCGATCGTGAAGAAAGAGAAAAGTGAGTAATCTAACAAAGTATAGACATCGATGGGGAAAATGTATATTTGTATTAGAACTACTAATATAATCGGGAAATGTCTAGGTTAGAAAGTTCCCTGTATAAAAAATCTTAATGTTTGGAACTTCATGTAGTCAGCGAGTACTATTCCTTGAGAAAATATGCATATGATAATACTGAATTCCAAATAGCGAGTACCATTATTTGTAGTCACCTAAAATTCCAATTAATAGGAAATCTACACATAAAATATGACAACGGTATTGGCCAAAAGAACTTTGTGTAGAAATTCTTCAAAAAAAGAAAAACTGTAACCAATCTCTTCTGTTTCATGGGTCTTTTATATAAGTAACGATTAAAAATGTTTCGTCACTGGAAACGTGTGGACAATGATTTCTTCTGTCGTTACTTCACTTTGTCACTAATCTTTGCTTTCTTTATTATTTTTTCTTTTCAGTGCCGAACGCGAAAAGGCCGAAATTGAGCGTATGCGTAATCTCACAGAAGAAGAAAGACGACAAGAATTGCGTGTCAATCCGAAAATTGTTACCAACAAAGCTGTCAAGGGCAAATATAAATTCTTACAAAAATACTATCATCGTGGTGCCTTCTATTTGGATGAAGAAAACGATGTGCTGAAACGCGATTTCGCCCAAGCCACCCTCGAAGATCATTTCGACAAGACCATCCTTCCCAAAGTAATGCAAGTGAAAAATTTCGGCCGTTGTGGTCGTACCAAATATACACATTTAGTTGATCAAGATACAACGAAATTCGATTCGCCATGGTATGCCGAGACAGCAAATAATCTGAAATTCCACAGTGAACGTGGTGGCGGCATGAAGCAAGTTTTTGAGAAACCTTCACTTTCGAAACGTAAAAAACTGGATTAATTTTGTTCACGGGATGACTATACAATAAATATGTATAAGACTTTAGATTAAGGTCTAGACTTAGTAAATAAGTGATTATTAAAAATTACCTCTTTTTTGTGTCCAATGAACAAAAAACGGATTATTTATATATTAACACCATTTGGCACTATTAGGAGCACATGTACGAACAGAATGATGATCACGAATTAACTAGCATTTTTATAGTTACTCTTTTTTGTTATGGATTTCAATTACATACGTATTTTGATTTGACAGATACACGAAAAATACACAACAAACAATAATCACATTCTACCGTGAAGTGGCGTATCAGTGATATTGATTTTCTTTCATTCAATTGGACTGGTCGGTCACTTAAGGCTGTCAGCTTGTAAATCAAGACTTCAAGATAATCAAAAAAGGCCAACATTAGATTAGCCGAAATGCCGTGTACATGGGATTTTTCTATTAGTATAATCCATCAAATTTATATTGTTTCTGTACCTTGAGAGCTGGACGAACGAGTGTTTAGAAAAAAGCGGTTAGAACTGGTACCATCTCATATTAGTACATGCCAATTTCTTGGAGAATAAAAAATATTTAAAATAAAAAGGATAATTGCAACAGCATGCGACCATTTTTTGACACTAGAAATTAAGAAGTTGTAGTTATTTCCAGGAAAAGAGTTAGTGTCATTGCCCCTATAAAAACACTTAAAAAGGTATATTCTTGAACTTGATTGATATTGCAAATCAAAATACACTCAAGAAATCCATCAACAAACATAACAAGTGATGGATTCAGCACTACTGATATAGCAATCAAAACATAATTGTTTAACTACAATTTGTAAAAATATTGTTGGCTTCGTTGGAAAGGCAAACATAACCAGTGGAATATGGTACTTGACTACTATAACACAGCGGCGTCGAAATCAGATATTCACATGAAAGATTTTTTCAGCACGAGTAAATTTCACGTCTTTAACGAGTCACATATAACCATATCTCCTGAGTTATTGTATGTATTGAAATACATCGATGAGGAAAACACATTCAAAAATATTTAGCGTAAAATTTCAGATGTTCGTATTAGATTTACATATAGTGCAAATGTTGATATCTTATCAGAAAATCCCATATAAAAATAATTATTTGTGTAACTGTATTTACAGATTAAAATAATTAATTTTGGCGCTCAAAACAGGTTTTGATTTCTCAAGATTGTCATTTTTGACACGACTTGGGTGTTTTGGATTTCCAACTCTTTTTATCTGTTTAACTATGTAGCTAAATATTTGCAGATAATTTAAAGCCATATCAGCGCCTACAAAAATGCTGTATGTTTTTGCAACCACCCAGCTAAAAATTTTTCGCCGATATGAGATTCCTTCCTAATTGTCTCACATTTTCCCATTATTTTCCGAGTAGTCTGCACATATCCTTAAGGGAAATTTAATAGCGTAAATTTAGTTTATAAGAAAAGGTGATTTTAAATTGAAAATTAAAATTTAAAAGAAAAAACACCTCGTAAAAATAAACATAATTTTAAACAAAAACCTGCTACCGTATTAAGATAACAAATCATTTTTTTTCATAATTACTATTGAAACATCTGAATATTTTTACGATATTCAAAAAAACTTTCGAAATTATTCAGAGTTATTTTCGAATTTCGGGTCAGTTATCTGATAATTTTCCGAATTTCGGATCAACATTCAATAAATTTCCGGATCACTCGATAATTTTATGAATTTCAGATCAAACGATCGATTTCTTTAGAACTTCTGAGAAAGTATCCGAAAATCTTCCTATTTTTTGTAAATTTTCTAATTTTCCTTTAGAATTTTGTCAAAAATTAAACAGAAAATCGAAAATTCCCACAAAAAGTCTCTTTTGTCATTTGATTTTGGGTTAGAATTCGTTAAGAAATTCCAACGAAACTTTTCGAATTCGTGG